AGGAAATAAATGAGAGTAAGAGCGTTATCTCGTCCTGCCCTTCCTGCAGCCCAAATTCTGAGAGACCCTTTAGATCCTAGACTCACAGCAGACTTCTTTTGTTAGGTCTCGATAAGCTTGCCCCAGTGATAATTCCCCTCTATTCTAAGTCCAACCATCTTACACCAAATCAAAGGTGATACCACTAGTATACCAGCAGAATATTTTACTGGAATTAATGATTATGGTGTCTTTTATTTTTACTTTTCTGAGACAAAGTCTCACTCTGTCGCCCAAGCTGGAGTGCAGTGGTGTCATCATAGCTCACTGCAACCTCAAGCTTCCTGCCTCAGCCTCCCGAGTAGCTGGGACTATAGGCATATGCCACCACACCAAGCTAATTGTTCTGTCTTTTTGTAGAGATGGGTCTGGCTCTTGCTCAGGCTGGTCTCGAACTCCTGGCCTCAAGCAATCCTCCTGCCTCAGCCCCCCAAAGAGCTGGGATTACAGGCGTGAGTCACCGCGCCTGGCTGATTATGGGACCTATACCTCTCCACTCCACTGCCCCACCTCCACAAAAGATAAATAATGAAGTATTCCAGGTTATTTGTGATGACTGATACCGTGGTAGGTCACAATAAATGCCATTGTGGCGAATTGGGAAACCTGAATATGGTACTTTAACCATTTTCATAAACTTGCTTTGGTGGTTAAAAAATTCTAGACCTTTCTTGTGCAGTGCAGTGGTATGCTACTCAAATCCCAGTTACTTTTGAGGCTGAAACGGGAGGTTCCCTTAAGCCCAGGGGATGGAGACCAGCCTGAGCAACATAGCTAGACTCCATCTCAAATAATAATAATAATCAAGTCCTTTCTCCCACCATTCATTTTATTTTTTTATACACCCCTCTAACTTCCTAAAATTATAGCTCAAAATGTTGGGGGGAGAGGCTAACAGCTAAGATATTGTTGAGATCCGTTTGCCCAGAGATCATGGATGTGAGCTGTGATCATCATGCGACCATCAGAGATGGCTATGCACTCACTTTGTAGACTCTTTAAATGGAAGAGGTGTCACCAGCATAAAGGTTCTTGCTAACATCCCCAAAAGGAAATTCAGGATGGGCACACAACCGAGTGATACTGGCAAGTTTATTGAGTGAAAGGGGACAGGATTAGGAAGGGCATGTGCAGAAGTGAAAGTATGCTCTCTAGAAAGGGAGTAGTCAGGCTCAGAAGCAGCAACTTCCCTGAACCCCAAGCGGTTGCTGTTCTTTTTTTTTTTTGAGACAGAGTCTGGTTCTGTTGCCCGGGCTAGAGTGCTGTGGCATCAGCCTAGCTCACAGCAACCTCAAACTCCTGGCCTCAAGCGATCCTTCTGCCTCAGCCTCCCGAGTAGCTGGGACTACAGGCATGCGCCACCATGCCCGGCTAATTTTTTCTATGTATATTTTTAGTTGTCCAGATCATTTCTTTCTATTTTTTTTAGTAGAGACGGGGTCTCGCTCTTGCTCAGGCTGGTCTCGAACTCCTGACCTTGAGCGATCCACCCGCCTCAGCCTCCCAGAGTGCTGGGATTACAGGCGTGAGCCACCGCGCCCGGCCCGGGTTGCTGTTCTTATCTGTTGAAGTCCAAGATGGTTGGGCTGTTAGCGTTCACTGTGTTTTCCCTCCTATACAATGGTAGAAAGGTCACTTTGTACTTACACAACACTGGAAAATCAATGGCTCTTTTCTTCTCCTGAGGTCCATTCAAAGGCTGGTTGTTCCAGCCAGTTGGCTAACTTTTGTTTTCTCCTCCTGTGCTCATACCTGACTGATTACCTACTCTGACATTCCCCCCTCAGGAGCTCTGTGCCCTGGAAACCTAACAAGGGTGTACGGGTGAAGATGTTTTCTGTAACAGATTCAAGCTGCCAGAGGGTGTCATCCCTACCTATAGGCCCAGGAGTTCTTGGTCTCTGTCAAGGGAGTTGGAGGGAAAATGAAGCACCATAGGGCAAAGACAGTTCAATCCCCAGGGCACAGTTAGGTGCAAACTGACCCCTGCCATCCATGATGTCCTAGATATCTGTCAAGACATAGATTGCAAGTGAGCAGGAATGTGAGATCAGAAAGAGGCCACCACAGAGTGTAAAGGGCAGTTAAACACAAGTTGACATCGTTGGAGATTGAGAATAGATTGCACTGAATCATATAAAGCCTTGGCGATAAGTCCACACCTGGGTAACCAAATCTGGCAAAACCCTGCCATGCCCAAATGTCCTAAGTTGCTTCTTTGTGGTGGTCTATGTGCAAGAGGGCTTCCTTGTGTTGGACTGACAGCCTCCGCTGGCCTGAACTCAAAATGTGGTCTAGATAGGTTACAGTCTTCTGTGAAACCTGGGCCTTGGCAGGAGAGACTTTATGCCCTCTTTCTCCCTAGAAATTCAAAACTTGGATGGTGTTTCTGTTTGAGTCTTCTAAGGTTGGCCTGCACATGAGTCTATATCCACATATTGTAAGAGGCCTCTGGTGGTTAAAGTGAGCTTTCATAATTCTCTGGCAACTATATGTATGGGCTATCTCTACAGCCCTGGGGCAAGACTGTCCCTGTGTATTGTCATGCAGAGGGCAAAGGAGATCTGCTTCTGAAGGTTTATCTGGCAACGCTGGGTAATCTGGCAGTGGGCTGGTAAGCTGGGGAAATGGAGGAGTCTCCAAGTTAGGTTTAGGGGCCACTGGACGTGGGTGGGTCTCAACTGAAGCTGGGGGGTGGGGGTGGGGGTGGTGAGCTCCACCCACCAGGTCGGCATTTATCAAGGCAGGAACCGTACTTTTCAGAGCCCTCTGAGTGCCATGAAGTCTTGGATGTATGGGACCTCTGTCTACTTGCTTTCCTATCTACAAAAAAAGATCTAACTGAAGGACTGTATTAAAGTTTAAACTGCCATTTACTGGCTAGACCGCCCCATCACCTAAAATATTGAGATCAGACAGCATTACACAGAGACACAAGTTTCTTCTTCTTTAAGCTGTCTAATTTGAAAAAGTCCCAATTCCAGAGAATACAGACGACAGAGTGTTTGGGGATGGAGAGAGTATTACCCAGATTTTCTTGGTTCCAGGGACAAAACCTGGAAATGGCACAGGGACTTCTGACCTCTGTGAAATATTACCTTTTCAGGAAAAAAGTGGAGGACGCGGGTGTCCCGACATCTCCCTGCCTGTCCTACAGAGTCTGTGCATTCCAGACTCTCACCCTGGCCAGTACAGCCCCAAGGAAGGTTCCCGACCCTGGCCTGGGTTCCGTGGGGGTGAGAAGTTGCCCAGGGAATTTTATTCACAAGGGCCTTTAACTCCTGTGATGTAAAGAGATCTGGGCCATGTCCTATCATCCGGCGGTTCAATGCTGGGATGTATTGTTCTAAAACTGGTGTCCCTCAGGCTTTGAGACCTCCGGAGATCCCACCCTTCTCTGTCTCAGATTTAATGAAGCACTTTTAGCCCTGACACAATGGTTACAGTGGCTGGGGCTTTTTGTGCCTGGAAGGCTTTCCTCCTCTTTCAGTGTGAAGTTCGATTGAATCAGGTTTTGCCTCCAAATGCTTAATTCCTGTGGGGAGTCTCTGTACGAGAGCACTTCCACTATACGCCGGACTGAACAGCGTCAAAGTCCAAGCTCCCGTTCCCCCACATTGCCCTATCCCTGCTGGTAATTCCTCCCCCGAAGTGGACAACAAACACAACCACCAGAAAGCCCCTACAAGAGCAAGCCTACCTAGCAAAGTGACTGATTAAATCACAAACATCTTTCCCCCACACTTAATAAAGAAGCACTTTGAAATAAGAGTGGTATCTAGCAGCAGAGACTACGCACAGGGTAGCCACAGAGAGTGAACCACGGGCTCCTGAGTGGGAACGTCCCCTGCCAGCGCCCTAGGCTGGTGTCCCCCAGTGTCTGGCAACCGCTTGGATCTATACGGCCTGAGGAGTGGCCCTCTGCCACCCTGATTAGGGGGAGCCTCGGTCGGCCAGATGGAGCAGGTTATGCACCTGTGACTCAGCGGAAAGCCTGCATTAGCAAAAGAAGAAAAATCCTCCAGTCCAGTCTCCAGGGTGAGGACAGCAATACTCACCAGAAATCGCCTGGGATGGACTAGTCTCCGGCCTGGCTCGCCATGAAGATGTCACCGGCGTAAAGGCTCTTGCTGAAGTCGCAGAAAGGAATTTCAGGACGCGCACACAACCGAGCTACAGTGGCAGTTTATTGAGTGAAAGCGGACAGGGTTAGCAAAAGGTTTGTGCAGAAGCGAGAGGAGGAAAAGAGCGACCACCGTGAACCCTGTTGCTGTTCGTATTTGTTTGAGTCCAAAGAAAGCTAGGTGGTCAGTGTTCGTTCTGTTCTCACCCATACGTAACGGGGGGAAGGCCACTCGGTACCAGGGTAACTCTGGGAAATCAGTGACTCTTTTCTTCTCAAGTCTGTCTGTTAAGGGTCTCTTTGTTCCAGCCGGTGGCCTAACTTTTCCGGTTCCTCCTCCCTCGCTTACATCTAAGTGACCACCTACTCTAACCTAGAAAGCTAATAGTTACTGCATCTACCCTGAGTCGGATACGTTTTCTCATGCGACCCTCACAGTCACCCCATAACCGTCGGGAAGAAAAGGAAATAGGGCCCCTGAGCCCCCAGGCGGCAGCAGACAGGAAGCGAAGAATGACCGCAAAACGCCCCCGCAGCCCACTCGCCTCCTTGGGTGGGGCCACCTGCTTTTGGTGTTTGTTTCCCTTCGCGCGACTCTAACTGCACCAACACCAGCGACTCTTCCCTACAGCAACACCTGCACTGCGCTTGTCGCTTTCCGGCTGGAACCCGAGCCGCGCGGCCGGCGCATTTTAACCCGAGGGCGCGCGCGGACGGAGCCCGCCCAGAAGGGCTTGGCTCCGCCCCCAGACTCCTATGATTGGACGTGGCTGCGCTCGGCCGACCAATGGCGAGGCGGCGCGCAGATTCCCGGAAGTGGCGGCGCTAGACTGCCCGGCCTGGGCTTCCGCAACTTGTTCGCGGTTCGGCGCTCCGGGGTCGCGGCGCAATGAGTTCCTTCGAGGGACAGATGGTCGAGTATCCAACCATTTCTATAGACCGCTTTGACAGGGAGAACTTGAAGGCCCGCGCCTACTTCCTGTCCCACTGCCACAAGGGTGAGTGAGCGCTGCGTGCTGCCCACTCCCGGGGCACAGGGTGTAGGAGAGAGAGGACAGGAGAGGACAGGCCCCGGGGACAGGGGGTGCGGCTGTCGGAGGCCAGCGCGGGGCTGGCCAGCACACGCTGTCCCAGTCCCTCGAAAGCTTTGTTTATTTCGGGATCTGTCCAACCTGGCGCAGCAGCGACTGGCGGTTGCGCACCGACCCGGGCCAGTCCGGACAGGCACCGCTTAGCGGGTTCTCTCGATAGCTCTTCGGTGGCCCACAGGAGGTGGCGAGGACTCATTAGCTGTCCCCCATAGCCTCGCTACCAGGTATAAAGAACACAAGTTTTAGATCAGTGTCGGCCACACCCTCAAACATTTACTGGCAAGCGGACAGGCTGAGAGCACGCGGTCGGATCACACAGTCCGCCTGTGAGCCCGGGGTGGTGCTCGCTCCCCTCCTTTGCATATTCTGTCCACATCCGATATGAAAGATTCGTTCTGGTCTTGGACGGCAGGATGTTTATCTCATAGATGGCGTTAGGCAACCAGAATATGCTACTACGATTTCCCAGCTGGACTTGTTTAGGGATTAAGGTTAGTCAATGCTACAGGCTCTTTCCCAGCTGGACTCGTTTAGGGATTAAGGTTAGTCAATGCTACAGGCTCTTTCCCAGCTGGACTCGTTTAGGGATTAAGGTTAGTCAGTGCTACAGGCTCGAGGCAAGATGCTCCAGTGGAGGTCAGATAATCCCCAGAGTTTAAATACTGCCGATTTCACAGCCATTGTCCACTTTTAACATCTATCATACTGACGAATATGTCCCTAACTTTACCAATGAAAAGGTAAAGGTTCATTGTGCTGATTAGCACAGCCGTTGGCACTGGTGGGAGGTAAAGTAGCTGCCCCTTGCAGCTGTGGCTTTGCAAAGTAGCTTCAGTAGTACCTTCCCACTAAACAGCTGAGTGAGTCAGTGTACCAAACCCATACGCAAATGCTTAGAGCACTGGTGCAGAGTATCGTAAAGGAAATGACACGTATCAAAACACCGCCTTTCCTCCCAGGGTTGGTGTGATGGCCACCTATTGTCTTGTGTGTGGAATCAGTCCCACTTGGTGTAAACAGTTGAAGATACTGCTTCTGGGAAATGCTTCTGCTTTTCCTTTTGCTCAAAGCCACCAATGATTTCTCTTTAATGAGAAAAATCTGGACCTCCTCTCTTGATTTACCAAATAGCACTGTGAACGTCTTGGAGCTCTTTCTGTTTATTTTTGAGAATAACGTTTTCGGTTTTGTTTTTCATTGAGAGTCTCAGCTTCTGCTTTCGGAATTTTCCTATGTTGCTTTCTTTAATCTTTTGGGGCCACAGACTTCTTTGACTATGTTGTAGACTATCTCCCCAAAATTTGCATGTTGAAGCCCTAAGCCCTGAAGTGACTATATTTGGAGCTAGAGCTTTTAGGAGGTAATTAAGGTTAAATGAGGTCATGTGAGTGGGGACCTACTGTGATAGGATTAGTAGCCTCATAAGAAGAGGGAGAGGGGCCTCACTCTTCATGTGCACACCCTGACGAAAGACCTTGTGAGCACACGGTGAGAAGGTGGCTGCCCGTATGCCAGGAAAAGCGCCCTCACCAGAAACCTAGTTGGCCCACACCTTGATCCTGGACTTCCCAGGTTTCTGAACTGTGAGTGATAAATTTCTATTGTTTAAGCCACACAGTCTATGGTATCTTGTTATGGCAGCTCAAGTAGACAAATTCAGAATATCTGACAAATTCTATGAACTCTTTGGGTAGAAAGAAATGCAGATAAACACATTAACATCACATTTTGATAGAATTTAGAGTGGGCCATGGACCTACCTGATACCCATTTGTGGACAGTCTGGAACCCAATGCTGGGCTCAGGGCAGTCTGTACTAAGTACCATCGGTAAGGTCCAGAGGATAAGAGGAGACCTGTGGCCTAAGATAGCAGCCAAGGATTGAGGAAGAGCCCTTGAGGGGGCAACATAAGATGATTTATTCTGATTTATTCTGGTCAAGGGAAAAGAAAATGGCCCTGGAAAAGTAGACCCTGAGCGCAGTTCCAGCAGCACAAAGTAAACTCACCCAGGTTCTCTCGAGCACCAGTTAGGGAGGGGCTCCGGGCTGGTGGGGTTGGGGGGATATCAGGCTAGAGGGTGCTGCCTGCTTAGTTTGGGAGCACGGAGCAGAGTCCTGATTCAGCCTCCTTTTTGCCACGGCAGAAACTCTTTGGAAACCCCAATTGTGGAAGGTCCTGCCCATAGGCCCTAAAACACCAGACCAGGTGTGACCTGAGGGGAGTCACCCACGGGGCACAGGTGGCCTATCCTAGATGGGGGTCAGGGGGAGACATGTATTCAGTTAAGGGCTGCCAGGTGAAGTTGTGCTGACTACCCTGTTTTCACTGGGTTTAAGCGTCGCCACATACAAACTGAGAGTGTGCTTTGCGTGTGTGGTGGTGGTAATTAGAATTAGTTTGATTTAGTTAAATAGTTTAGAAGTGTTTGGTCCTTGTTGTCTAGGCCTTTACATGCTAAACATTCAGAAAATATTAGAATGCACTATGTATTTCGCGTACTATTTGGTTTAATTGTTACCTTTCTGTGGTCTTCTTCCTGTGTCTGTTAATTTGGAGGGAGGGCTATGGGGCAAGTCCGCGTGGATAGTGACATCCCACCGTGCAACCCAGCAGTCGCTGTAGGCCAAAGAGATGATGAACCACTTCTTACTCTGGCCTAAGCCTGAAGGATTCCCTAGCAGACTGCGTGGAAGCAAGCATGAATTTCTAGACGGACTAACTTCAGTGGCAGGAAGTGAATGGGTCAGGTACAGTGAGGCCCAAAGGATGGCTGGATTGAAATGAAAGGAGAGAGTAAAGGGAAGGGTTGGAAGCCATTCTCATTCTTCTGTGGCTTCTCAGGGTGACTTAAACTCTGCCCCACAATGCAGGGGCTCACTCTCCTTTTAAATTGCTTTGATGGCTCAGGGATGGGCAACTTGTCCTGTTCTCAGAAGGATTCTTCACCTGCAGGAGAAAGAATCAGTAGCCCATGTAGATCATTTCTCTTGCAAAAGTGATCCCCATGTGTTTTCTCTTAGAAGGAAGCTTACAAAGAGGACAACTAAGTTTTGCTGTGCTGAGGAATCCTCTGAAAGAAGAATGTTTATGACTTTCAGTTCTTTTGTTTTTAGATCACATGAAAGGATTAAGAGCCCCTACCTTGAAAAGAAGGTTGGAGTGCAGGTAATTTATTTTGCTACGTGTGTGTGTGTGTGTGTTTAAGTAAACCTTTTAATTGAGAAATGATAACATCTATACAGAAAAGTCCATCCCCCATAAGGGCACAGCCTGATGAGCTTTTACAAAGTGAACACGTCTGTGTAGCTCCCCCCGCCCCCCCAGACCAAGAGCTAAAACAGTGCTAATATCCCAGGCCCCCTGCCTCCTCCCAAAGGTAACCTCTATTCTGACTTGTGCTATCCTGGGGTAGCTTTGGCTGTTTTTTGAACTTTCCGTAAATAGAATCATACCAAATAGACTTTTATATTTGTGTAATTCATCTATGCTATTGAGGGCAGCAATAACTCATTCATTTTTATTTCTGTAAGAGTCCGTGTATATGAGAATGGTTGTCCCATTATAAAGAAATCAGTTAAGACTTTTTCTTGAAGCTGAACTATTAGATTCTTTTCCTGCAGCCATTGCCTAAGTCTAAATTTTAAATTCTCAAGATACATATTTGGAAAGGGACCTTTTGACTTTTGAACCAGTGAACGTCAAGGCTTTTCAGCTAATCAATAACAATAGTCTGTGTTCTTGATAATGATAGCTAATATTTATTGAACACTTACTATTTTCTGAGCACTATGCCTTTCTAGTTCAACAGCTTTTTTGAGTGCCTGAGATGAGGCAGGCTTTGTACTGGAGGAGCCACACAGATGAAAACCGCTGTCCTCTTGGACGTGACATTATCATTAGAGCCTCTTGACAACCTTTTGAATAGATACTATTATTATTTCTATTTTACAGATGAGGAAACTGAGGAACCAGAGAGGTTAAATTAGTTGTCCAGTGTCATGCAGCCAGTAGGTGGCAGGACCAGGATTTCAACCAGGTCTGTCTGACTTTAGAGCCTATGTATCAGTTATCTATTGCTGCGTAACAAATCGCCCAAAACCGAGTGACTTAAACCAACACTAATCAGGTGTCATCTCTTAGTTTCTGTGGGTCAGGAATTCTGACGGGGTAGAATGGGGGTGGCTGGTTTCTGCCTGACTGAGCCAAAGTGATCTGAAGACTCACTGAGTGTCTGATACCTGGGCTAGGAAGATAGCTGAGGGATAAGATAGTTGGGGTTCCTTGGGCATCTCTCTCTATCTCTGCAAAGTCTCTTTGGCATGGTGTTTTCAGGATAGCCAGACCTGCTAAATGAAGACTTGGGGTTAAAAAGTCTAGGTCCTGAGTGAGGCAGGAGGAAGTTACATTGCCTGGCTATCTGACCTCGAAAGGCATACAATTACTTCCACCACATTCTGTTAGAAAGGACTGCCCAGATTCAAGGGCAGGGAGCATAGACCCCTCCAGTCAGTGGAGGAATTTTGATACCCATTTTGTAAGAAGAGAGTGTGTGGATGGGGTATTTAGTAGCGTTGCCATCTTCGGAAAATATAATCTGCCACTTGACTGTATTCCTAACCTCTAAACTATACTGTCAAATTTTTAAAGTTTATTATGAAATTCTGTTCGTTTAAAAAGAGAATTGTTATGTGAAGTAAAAAGCAGAAGTCTGCTCCCAGCCCCCCTTTGTCATTCTCTAAAGGTAGGTTAATGTTTGGTGGCATCTTTCCAGACAGACATGCCAGATCAGGTACAAGTGGCTATTTTTCACTGTAACAATGGTGAGGGACAATTTTTTTTTTTTATTTTTTATTTTTTTGAGACAGAGTCTCACTCTGTTGCCTGGGCTAGAGTGCTGTAGCATCAGCCTAGCTCACAGCAACCTCCAATTCCTGGGCTCAAGCGATCCTCCTGCCTCAGCCTCCCAAGTAGCTGGGACTACTACAGGCATGCGCCCCCATGCCCAGCTAAGAGGAACAACTTTTTGAGGAGGTCAGAGGACATAAGTATGTCCCCCTCCCTTATGCTCTTGAGGGACCGAAATAGTGGGCATAGGTATGTTGGGAACTACACTAACACTTTTGGTGCCAGCAAAGTTTCTGAATTATTAGAGAAAACTGATATATGATGAAATATATTTTCTAGTCACCAAGATGGCTTATTTTGGATTGTATTGAAATCACCTTTTTTGTCTTTTCCTTTCAGCTTGAAGGTTTGTTTATACTGCTCACCTGTTACTAAGGAGTTATTGTTAACTAGCCCGAAATACAGATTTTGGGAGAAACGAATTGTAAGTTTTATTTTTTGAATAACATTAATTTTTTTAAGTGGGAAATATTTTTAGAGGTAGATTGCAGAAAGCATTGAAATTATTCAAAACCCAATTCCTCACATGCTGTAGTTACCCACATTAATTAGAATGTTGATATTTAGTCCTTTGTAATTCAGCAATTCAGAAGAGGTCAACATTTTGTTGTCAGTTTGGTTTTTTGTTCCTCAAGAGTTTGATCTAGGTCTTTAGTTTTGTTTAGTCTCGTTGACTCTCTAGCTAAGATGCATTTTAATATTTTAGAGTATAAAATGATCATTAACATAATTGCTAGATCCTTTTATTTAGATCATGGGACAGAGTAGGAAAAATAAACATAATTTATAGGCTATCACAAGAAAGGGGTAGCAACCAAGAAAATACAAGAATATAAATAGAATGAATAACTTTTAATCTGGTGGAATAAAATGGATCTATCCAATATACGGTGATAAAGGTGAGAAAAACAAAGGAGTGTTATATAGAAAATACAAAGAAGGCTGAAAAAGTCCTATTATAACAGTAATTACTATAAATATGAATGAATTTAATTCAACTTGTGATCAAAGACAAATTCTCAGTTTACATTAAAAAAATAAGAAAGACCCAGGTTGGGTGCGGTGGCTCATGCCTATAATCCTAGCACTTTGGGAGGCCGAAGTGGGAGGATCACTTGAGGCCAGGAGTTTGAGACCAGCCTGAGCAACATAGACCCCCGCCTCTACAATAAATAAAAAACGTGAGCTGGGTATAGTACCACATGCCTGTAGTCCCAGCTACTCAGGAGGCTGAGGCAGGAGAATCGCTTGAGCCCAGGAGTTCAAGGTTGCAGTGAGCTATGATGAGGCCAGTGCACTCTAGCCCAGGCAACAGAGCAAGACCCTGTCTCAAATAAATAAGAAAGAAAGAAAGATCTGCTAGTAGTAGTCTATGAGAGACATAGATAAAACAAATGGATCAATACAGGTTGAAATTGGGGGGAAAAAGGGAGAAAGATAAACTAAACAATTAAAAGCCCCAAATGTAGTAGTAACCATCAAAGAAATTCAAACAATTATCAAACATAGCTTCATCATAAAAAGCCTGAGGCCCAGATGGTTGTAGGTACATTTTACGAAATGTTGAAAGAACAAATGATACTACATTAGATGAGTTGCTGCAGGCAATAATAAAAAGATAAGTGGCTAAACCTTGCTAGCAAAATAGATAATGATAATATACAGGGAAAAAAGCCATTTCATACGTGAAAATCCTAATTAAGATAGTAACTAACCGAACCTAATAGTAATAAATAATACATCATGAATAAGATGTTTTATTCCTAGAATGCAAGGATATTTTAACACCCAAACCTTAGTTTATTGCAAGTTTTATGATATTAGTGAACTAAAAAGATGGACAACTACATTCCTCAGATACTTCCTGAATGTCTCTTGTGTGGTGGTTACTGTTCTAGTGAAAAGGGTGCATTCACTGCAGCAGGTGGAGAATGAGGTGTACATAGCATGGGCTGATCGAGCCTGTGTTCTATAGCACAAAACCTAAACACATAGTACACGTGATCACATTGTTTTTACAAAGACTCAAATTCAAAGAAGAGAGTGGGAGCGGTAGGGATAGGGAGATGGAGGAGCATTGAATACATGGAAATAGAACTGTGTCAAAGGATTATATACATTTATAAGGCATTTAATACATTTTGCAAAATCTGTTTCAGGAA